TGTATCTACTATGCTTTTTACCATGGATATATCCATGCAGATGGATACCTGATACCGATTCCCCTCAGAAGGAGGTCGGCAGCAAACACATCAGTATTCACTCACTTGTATGGAATGGGAACAGGAGCCAAAAGACCCTTCTTGCCCGTTACAGGTGGGTATTAGAAGCAAGGGACCTCTGTTCAAGAACCTTCTTGTGATATCAGTGATCTTGTCAGCTTCTGCCCTGTTTTCCAGCTTGCTTTCTTTGCAAAAGGTCAGCGAGAATTCAAAACAGAGCCCAGCAACATGTTGACCCAACCTGACAACTGATGCAAACAGGGCAACTGCAAGCACTCAGCACAAGTTTGACAGACACAAGTATTTTTCAAGATGACAGCACATTTAACCTGTCTCTTCTGAAAGCATCATGCACAATCACCTCGGAGACAGGTAGACAGGTCTACCCGATTTAGGTTAATTTTCCTTTCATTCACTTGAAGCACAGTCACTTAACCTGGCCACTCTGAAAAGATGTGACTTTGTGTCTACAGTCACACAAATTCAGTCTGCGTATATTTTGGCGCATGACTGAAAAGTCACCAACAAAATCACACAGGTCCGAAAGGAAGGTCAGCATCTTGGGTTACTTTAAACTCAAGCTGGAAGTTATTTGCAGCTTGAACCAAAGAGTCTGACATAGAAATGCGCCTGATTTCAGACGTCTGATTTGGAGGAGAATGCTTTCAGAAATTAAGCTGTGTGTAGGACAGCATTCAAGATGGCCTTGTACTGGGTCTGGCTGGGGTGGAGTTAACTTTCTTCACAGCAGCCCGTATGGTGCTGTGCCTTGCACCTGTGGCTAAAATAGCATTGGTAACACACCGATGTTTTGGCTATTGCTGAGCAGTGCTTGCACAGTGTCAAGGCTTTCTCTCCAACACCCCTCCACCAGCAACCATCTCAAAGGTCAGTAGGCTGGAGGTGGGCAGGCAGTTGGGAGGGGACATAGCTGGGACAGCTGACCCAACCAACCAAAGGGATATCCCATACCATATGAAGTCATGTTCAGCAATAAAAGCTCAGGGAAGGGAGGATGATGTGGGGGGGCATTCGTGGTTATGTTATTTGTCTTCCCTAGAAACCGCAACATGTACTGAGGTCCTGCTTCCCAGAATGTGGCTGGACATCTGCCTGCCGATGGGAAGCAGTGAATGAATTCCTCTTTTTGCTTTGCTTTGCTTCTGTGTGCAGCTTTTGCTTTTCTTAATAACTGTATTTATCTCAACCCATGAGCTTTTCTGTCTCATTTTCTCCCCCAGCCCTGTTAAGATGGGAGAGTGAGAGAGCGGCTGGGTGGGTGTCTGGCAGCCAGTCAAGGTCAACCCACCACAGGGTTCTGGACAAAGATTAATTTTCTTGACTGGTTCTCTCCATTTTGGTTACTGCTGATCACAAAGAAAACAGATGACATAAACTTCAAAGACATTTTCGTATGAGAATTGTCAATTTGATTCAATACTTCCAACCTCAAATATTCAATAGTCAACAGTCCTGATTAAAAAGGAAAAAACCACTTCAGGTCTTACCTTTGAAGTCTTGGCGTTTGAGCTCACAGGATGTAGTATTATGGCCAGCATATTCTAGTTCAAGCCTGTGTTGCCCTACTGAGAGTGGCCCCATTCTCACTCGTGCCTGTTTTATATTCTTGCTGCTTGTCTTAGGTCAAGTAAGAGACCCTGACACTAGCAGTCAGGAGGAGAGTCAAACGACCTTTATGATCTAGCTGGCAAAAACAGGGACAAGAAGGGTCCTGTTCATTCTTGCAAAATCTTTTGTTTCAGAGGTGGTTTGCAGTAGCAGCCACGCTGTGTTCAGAGTCTGCCATAGGGTGGCCCAGAAGGAGCAGATGACGCAGGAGGTCTGCACAGGAGTCCAGTTTGTCACCGCAGCATTTCTCACAGTGCGCAGCAGTTCCTGTCAGCGGGAAGAAAAACAATCACTGATTTCAGTCAAGTGCTTTGACTGCAGTATTTCTGTCTTTGTCCTACATTGTTTTATGCAAGGTTTAGACACTTACTATTGGTGTCTTGGGCTTTTTCTGAAGGATAGTGTTTTGAAGTTAGACACATGGCTGTTACGAAATGAAGAAAATGCACAAAATCACCTCTGGAGGAGTGAAAACAACAAATTGCAATGCACAGGCTTGAGTGTCAGAGAATATGCTTCTCTGGAAGGGATTTAGTTACTTTCTTACTCCATGAAAGAAGTGACATCGCTCAGAAAAGACTCCCTGTGGGGAACTCGATCCTTTGGGAGGGAGGATAAGTTAGTGATTAGAGATGAAACGCAAAGGTGTTTTCAGCATAGTGGCTGCTTGCTCGATTTTCTAATACGGTACATTACATGGTTAATGGAAATGTAGCTTTGCACCTTCTGTTTTTCTCCCAGTAGAATTAATTTCAGCACTGTTTGCATGCCAAACATGCACACTCACAGCTGTGAGCTCCAGGGAGCGGGAGAAGGCACAGCTTGGACCCGCACAGATAAGATCGCAAAGAGTCTGCAACAGGGCTGGGAGCTGAACCCGCTGCCTTTGCCAAGTGACTTCACCACAAGACCATCTTTGCTCCTGCCCACAGGAACTGTCCCTCACCGTTACAGACAGACCTCAGAAGCCAGCAGATCGGGGGAAAAGCATCTGGCTGTTTCGAAGTCCTTTGGGAGATCCGCAGGGATAGGAGTTTTCTGTTCCACTCCGTGACGCAGCAAAGAGGGGAAAAACACCCACCATTTCCCACAGAGCAGCTATCCCTTCCCAGTATGCTAATCCAACCTGCACCCCCGTTCCTGCCAGGAATCTCTCCGTTAGGCTGCATGTGTCATTTATTAAGAAATAAGAGAGAGCAGGGAGGAACAGCTTTTGAAGAAGCAGGCCGTGCACGAGCAGGGAAACACAGCGCTAAATGTTTGGGAACCCTCGGAGGTGAAAGTACCACAGGAGTGCCACATGGCAGTGCTGCTGGCATACATACTGTGCTGCTAACGTAGCTCCCCACACGCCCGTTATGGAGAGAGACAATCGTGGAGCTGGAGCTCACTAAATCTGATGGTCATGAAATGGGAAAGTGAAGGGAGTGAATTGTTGCATGCAACAAGAGCCACCGTCCCAAGCTGAAAGCCCTGGGAAACAAAGCAGCAGGGCATGTAAGAAGTACTTCCTTGGGAGCCCACTTCGAATGAAGCAGCTGAAGTTTTCACTTGGATTTGCAGCTGCGTGTTTGTGAAGAAAATGAGGGTGGAAAAGCTGGAGAAACACCGAGAGAGAGTTTCCGAGAGGACTGGAGGCTTTTACTTGAGAGAGGGAGAAGTACCTCCTGCTCTGCTGGTGTGCTCAAGGTACACGAACTGCAGGAATATCCAACTCGTATTTCCTCCTGCTGGAAGCAAGTCACAAAGCCCCAACTCCTAATTAGCTGCTCGGACCAAGAGGAGATCATCTCTTTTCCAAGTGCTTAGGTAGAGTAAGAGTGAAATCATAAGATGTGAGGCAGCGCTTCTGCTCTATTGTTGCGGTGCCAAAGCACAGCATCTTAAATAAAGTCAGCAATATTATTTTGTATGTGCTTAGGAGCAAACTGTAATCCCTCATCCAACATTTCCTGAGTCTGTAGAGTTACCCCTGTGTAAACGAGGCCACAACTATATATACGCAGCCATTAACTTACTTGGTTCCAATCAGCGTAACTGCTATCTTTGCTTTGTATACCGAAAGAACAAAAACCAGCAGGAAGCTTCTTTACTGGCAGGTCTGTTTCCAGAAAGACAATTTGCATATATTTTTTACATCTCTGGAGAACAAAGCTCGTAATACCGACAAGACAGAAACTTCCCGAAGTCAAAACCTTCAAAACCACAAATCAGCAGAGGGTGATTTGTGAACCTGTCGGTAAAGTTTATCGGGGCGGTGAGTCACCACACGATAATCCCCCAGGTCACCTGGCGGCTTATCCAACCAGCCCGGCCTTGGCTAAAGAATCAGGGAGACGGCCGGGAGCTGGAAACCAGTGACAGTGGGATTTGGCAACTTCCAGCCCACCCGCGATGCATCACTTACGTAGTATTGAGTATTTTATTTAAATGTGCGTAGGCTCGGGCCGTGAAAGAGAGCGCAGCGATGGCCACCCCGTCATCCCCCGGGCACGCAACAAATTCAACAGCACGAAACACACCTCAGCCCTGCCCCGGGGGTCCTTTTTGTCCCAGGGGGAAGGGGACAGGCCCTTTACCCTGCTGGGACTGCTGCCAACAAGGGACCCAC